CAAGCTTTGGTCTTATCTACAAGCTCCCCATAGGAATCAAAATATTACTTTTTCAATAATTAAAAAGAAAAAATGTTGTACATGACAACTTTGGATTCAATTGATAGTTGTGATTTTGCATGTAAACTTTTGCCGCTGTAAATGAATTTTGTAAAGCAACCAGAAAGTAGCTAGCTCAAGTGTTAATTGTCTTGTACCTTGAATTGAGGCCTCCTTTTATTCATGTTTAATCTTTCTCATTCTTAGCTTCCCTCATAATTTGTGATTATATATAAAGGTACAGTTTGAAAATTAATTCTCCTTGTATTCAATATATCGAATATCTAATGGAATATAAAAATGGTTCCTCTAGTTCGACTTTGTACTTGTGTGTTGCCTGTGCTACTTTGCTTCTTACATTCAATGTCTTTCATTACAATTTTTTAATGAGGCAGAATGAAAATTTTCATCAAATTTTATTGAATTAGAAGTTCTAAAGCTATGTGCACTTACTTGGGGCTAATTTTGTGGCCTTTATCACTACCACGTCTTTGACCTATCACAATGGTTTAAAACTGTCGCATTAGCATTTAAAGCATTGTAGTTGCATAAGCACAGTGATTAGCAAACTGTCTTCATTGCTGCCATTGTCCTAGCCATAAGGCAGCGGTTGCAAAACCTAATGCAATGGTTTCTAAGACGATATAACAATAAGGCTAAAGCAACGTTTTTCACAAATACAACGTTTGTTGTAGCAGTTTACTGATACCTAATATAGCGGTTCCATACACAAAGACAACAGTTATTGCAAATGAAACAGGTTCCAATGATAGAAAAGGGATTTGTAGAGATCAGAAATAAAAGGAACTGAGATACCTGAGAGTTGAAAGGAACACACGAACAAGACTAGAAGATTGGCGATTAGCAACAAGATCAGCAGCTCGATGACAAGATTAGCAAAAAAATCAGCAGCTTGACGACGAGATTAGCAACAAGATTAGTACCTCAACAATGAGAATGGCAACGAGAGTAGCTCGACGATGAGAATGGCAACTTAAGTAGCTCGACGACGAGAATGACAACAAGCTCGAAGATGAGATCGGAGAGGAGATGTGAGAGAATGGCAACGATAGTAGCTCGACGACGAGAATGACAACAAGCTCAAAGATGAGATCGGAGAGGAGATTGGAGATGAGATCCAAGATGAAACAGCGACGAGTTCAGTGATGAGATCCACGATTATATGATGATCTCGGCCACGACGATTTTAGGGAGCAAAAAATTTTGGCCATGGCGATTTTAGCAAAACTCACTTTGGGATTTCCATGAGGATTTGAGAGAGAGAGAGGGAGAGAGAGAGAGAGAGAGAGAGAGAGAGAGAGAGATTTCGTTTAAGCGGTCAGGGCCATGGGCTTTAAAAACTTAAGCTCCCAAAGCCCAGGAATAATTATTAGGCCTATGACAACGTTTTTGATAAATTGTTGTATTAGGCACTGCAAATCGTTACGATAGATATCTAACTCAACAGTTAAAACCGTTACACCTTATCTGCTGCAATAGATCAATTATGTGGTAGTGCTATTAGTCATACAAATAGACTTAACTAGCTAGGTTCTGGAGAGAAGAGAAGGAGAAGAGAAGGTGGAGATCTTTCTTTTATTTCTTCTTGCATCTTTTGCTTTAAGAAAAATCTGACATGATTATTATTATTATTATTATTATTTTCCAAAGTGCAGCTATACGCCCGATTTTTAAAGTTCACTTTAATAAACTATGCATCATAACCAAATGGGCAAAAATACTAAATTGGTATATTTTATTTACCCTTGGGGGTTAGTCAAGTAGAACTCAAAATTAGAACGGGGATAATTTATGGAATAATATTTTATAGTGTTAGTCCATTGAAACTAAAATTAGGATAAAATTATACAGTGTTAGTCAACAAGAACTGGATAAAAAATAGAACTGAGATAATTATAAAAATTCATCCCACTTTTGTCAAATTTATATAGAAAAGAGAGAGTTCTAGTCTCTCAAATTGCCCCAAGTTTTAATCTAGAACTACATGGTAAAAAACCAGAATTTTGTTATTTACTTTTTTTATTTTTCATATTTCATTTCTTCGTCATCTTCAAACCACACCATAAAATTAGATCACATCTCTTCTTATCATTCCCTTCTATTTAATGTTGTTTTTTACTTTTTATTAAATATTTGAATTGTATAATTAATTTAAATTTAAAAATTACAAAATTCATGTTTTATTAAAAAATAATTAAAATTGAGAGATGATGGAATAATGTCTCGTAGATCAAAAAAGAAAGAGAAAAAAAGGAAAAACTATTTTTTTAATTTATATTACAATAATAATTTCAAAAAAATCAAAAAGTTAATTTATAGTATATCTAATAGTTCTTCAAGATTAATTAACACTAAATAATAATAATAATAATAATAATAATAATAATAATAATAATAATAATAAGTTTTAAAATGTATAAATAGTAGTATGATCATCAAAATACATGACTTATATGCTTATTGATTTCTGAAAATTATCCTTAATTATACTAACAATTGCCCCACTAAAATATCATATTTTAAAATATCACTCCCAATTATCCTATTAAAATATCCCACATTAAAAATTTATCCCATAATAAAAATTGTTCCACTTCTATCAAACATGTTCTAGCTGACTAACATCTCCTTAGTGACAAATGTGCCTCAAATTATTGGTATATTATTGTTTCTCCGGCGATAAATGGGCCTCAAATTTGGTCGGACCAAAATTTTTGGCGAAATTTTTCACGTGACGCCTCACATGGTGCGAATGTGGCTGCTAGCGTGTCTTCCAGCGTCATAAATCAGCTCCAATCCCAAACCCTAACCCCTCAATATCCTTCCTCCTCCTCCACCTCTCCCTCTCCTCCCTCCTCCGCTCCTCTTGCCTCTCTGACGCCTCCAAGACCTTCAACCTCTTCAAATCCTCCCTCGACTCTCAACGTGGTGAGCTTTCATACCTTGATTTCTAGGTTTTTTAGGGAGAAGGGGATAATTTTAGATGGGATTAGTTGTAATTATTATCATTGTGTGCCACGCTGGCAGCCACGTTCGCATTATGTGAGGCGTCACGTGAAAAATTTCGTCAAAAATTTGAGTCCGGACAAATTTGAGCATCATTTGTCGCAGGAGAACAAATAATATACCAATATGTCACCGGAGAAAAAATAATATACCAATATATCTCTGAAAAATATACCAAATTGTCACTAAGGATAAACAAAATATACCAATATGGTATTTTTGCCTAATCAAATGTCTCTATTTAGTATTTACATGATTTAACTATAACAATTCAGTTGTACTTGAATACCGTAAAGCTAGCTCAGCATAGCCCACTTGTTGTATTATTCTCTGCCCACTTGTTGTATTATTCTCTTGTCTTTTATTCATTCCTCCATCTCCTTTATTTATGTGCTTTACATGCTTTTATTGTTTTACTAAATAACACTACAGGCACACTCTCCACCACACCCCCTCTCCTGCTACAGTGCAGGGGGGCCCACCTGAGATTTTTTAAAAAATCTCAGGTGGGCCCCCCTGCACTGTAGCAGGAGAGGGGGTGTGGTGGAGAGTGTGCCTGTAGTGCCACTCTTTTACTAAAGGTAAAAAAGTTAACCTGCATAGTATCCACTATGTTTCTATTCAACATGAAATTAATCACCATCCCATTGGAATTATAGGCAATTTGCTCCTCGTTAATGGACGAAATATGAGGGGGGAAATCCCAACTAGCTCGATCCTTAAATTTCTGGATCTGGATCCTCTCTTAATGAAAATCTCCTAATATCTACTAATAAGAAGATCCTACCCTTTCATTTTTATCATTTTTCCACTTATCCTTATGGGCCCCCCTCCCAACTCTTTACAATTCTTCATTAGGAAATATTAGGATGAGGAGAGGATCCCAATTCTAAATTTCTAACATCCAATTAGCTCAAATAGTCTTTTTATGTTGCCTAGCTTTTTTTTTCCCCTTCTTCTTTCTCATTAGGCCATATCTAGTATTTAAGATACAATCAAGCGTGTAATTCCTGGTTTAAAAAAAACTTGTCATTTGCTAAACATAATTCATGGGCACGATGACCTATAACTCTATAAGAACTTGGGGAGCATTAGAACTAGATATGGATATCATATGTGATTAACATTTCATAGATTTTTAATCATAGATAAGAATATGGTCGCACTCAGGGCATGGAAATAGAAGTTCGTACTTAATATATCGATTGAATATGAGAGAAATGGATATGGATATGCATTAAATATTAATACATGTTAAGTTAAATATTGGGTATTGGGTTAATGGGATGTTACCCGTTAAACTTAACCCTATTTGTATGGCTATATATATCTCTCTTGTTATTCTCAATAAAACCATTAGGGTTTTCTCTATTCTCTACATGGTATCAGAGCATGAAACCCTAGCTGTCACAAATCTTCATTCAAAAAACCCTAGCCGCCGCCCGCTGCTACAGTACCGCCCCGCTGCTACAGTACCGCCGCCGCCACTACAGTGTCATGCTACAGTGCCCCCTACATCGTGTTGCCTATTCCCTCGCCATCTCAGTCTTCGAACTGATGAGAGGACGATTGTATCCCTCAACATTTCAGTCATAGAACTGATGAGAGGAAGCCTCGACATTTCAGTCATAGAACTGATGAGAGGAAGAGTGTCTATCTCACGTTGTTGAGATATTTCACTTTTATTCTTGTTTCCTTCGAGAAACAAGAATATAGAAATTGAGTCTTTGTGCAAACAAAAGTCAGGGCTCTCTCCCTCAGGTGATCTCGCCTACGCAGCGTGAGGGCATGACTATCTACCACTCTGCCTCTAATCCTGCTCCTGATCTGCTCTTAGTTTATGTTTTAAAAACTGATCTCTACTACTAATCTGCCTATTTGACTACTATTTGTCTCCTATTGTTGCTCAAAAATAAAAAATGACTACTACTCCGATGTCGGACATCTTCTCCTCTACTACTCCTTCTATTGTTGCTGGTGAGACCTCTGCGCCCAAGGTAGTCTTGGGGACTACTATTAAATTGAATGGTGCAAACTATCTGCTCTGGGCACAAGCTTTCCGCATCTTCATTGGCGCTCAGAGCAAACTACCACATCTTCTTGCATCTCCACCACCAACCTCAGATCCCACCTACAATTCATGGCTCTCATCTAATTATTGTGTTATGACTTGGCTTCTCAACAGTATGGAAGTACAGATCAGTAGCAGCGTTATGTTTTTAACCACTGCGAAGGAGATGTGGGACAGCCTAAAGATTATGTACGGGAACGAGAAGAATGTTTCTCGTGTATTTGAAATTTATGAATGACTGTTTGCGCTCAAACAGGGAGATAAGTCAGTTCCGGAATTCTTTGGTGAATTGAAGGGACTGATAGACGAACTAGAGATGCATCAGCCTGCAGTAGCTGATGCAGCGACGCTATTAGGGTATCGTCGTGATCTGGCAGTATCCAAATTTCTTTCTGGGTTGAACCCTAATTTACAGTCCCAGGTGAGAGGACAGATATTGGGTGGAGATACAATTCCCTCACTGACTGCTACATTCTCCAGAGTCATGCAGGTCTCTACTGGTATTACTTCTGATACTACTACACCATCTCCACCTACGATGGATCAGTCTGCCATGTTCTCTAATCGAGGCAAAGGCCGCGGTCGTGGTCGTGGTCGTGGCCGTGATTCAGGGGGAGGACGTGGTTCCTTTGGTGGGAGGCAAGGTGAATCTGATAAGGGCTCACGACAGTGTGGTCATTGTGGGAGAACCAATCATATTTCTGAGAAGTGCTGGGAGAAGTTTGGTCGTCCTCAGTGGGCCCAGGTAGCTGATACAGAGTCGACTAACTCATCTATTTTTGCTACTACTTCTGGTGGTCCAGCTGTTACTGCTCCTACTGTTCAGATTTCTCAAGCAGATTATGAGAGGTTGCGCCAGCTAGAACTCTCTCAGAATATTCATTCTGCTACTCATGCATCCTCTTCAGGTATGGATGCTTACATAGCTTCTTCTCACAAACCCTGGGTACTAGATTCTGGAGCCTCATCTCATATGACAGGTATAAAGGATCACTTTATATCTTTACATCTTTCTGATAAGTTTCCTTCTATCCGCATTGCTGATGGTACTCTTTCTCCAGCTCGTGGTGATGGAGTAGTTCATGCTACTTCCTCTTTAAAACTAACTGATGTGTTATATGTTCCCAAATTTCCTGTTAGCCTATTATCCATTAGCAAGTTTACAAAACAAAATAATTGTAAAGTCACCTTCTTTCCATCTTATTGTGTTTTTCAGGACCTAGCAACTGGATGAAGATTGGTTCGGGGCATGAGAGAGGAGGTATGTACTATTTGGACGACAGTATGTCAGAAGTTGGCCTTGTTGCATCACAGTCTGACTCCACTTTATTGTGGCACTGGCGTCTGGGTCATCCTTCACTACAAAAACTTAGATCGGTAGTTTCTGTTCAGCCATCTATTTCCTCTTTAGGTTGTGAGTCGTGTAAACTGGGTAAGTACCATCGTGCTACTTTTCAGAGTCGAGTCGATAAACGTAGTAGTTTTGCTTTTGAGTTGGTTCATTCCGATGTCTGGGGTCCTTATCGTGTTCCCTATGTGCAAGGTTTTCGATATTTTATTATCTTTGTTGATGATTTCTCTCGCATGACGTGGCTTTATCTGTTAAAAGAGAGGTCAGAGGTCTCGCACGTTATTGAACTCTTTTATAATAAAATAAAAACTCAGTTCTCTACTTCTGTTCGTATTCTTCGTACTAATAATGCTTTGGAATATATGAAAAGTGATGTTTCAAAATTTTGTGCTCTTAATGGCATTATTCATCAGACTTCTTGCTCTCACACTTCACAACAAAATGGAGTTGCTGAGAGGAAGCATAGGCATATTCTAGATGTTGCTAGAACACTGATGATACATATGAATATTCCAAAGTATTTGTGGTCTGATGTTGTTCTCGCTGCAAATTATTTGATTAATCGCATGCCTTCCTCCGTCCTTGATGGTTTAATACCATTCAATTGTCTTTATCCTGATAAAAAACAATTCTCTGTGATTCCCCGTGTCTTTGGTTCTACGTGTTTTGTTCAGGATTTAACTGCTGGTTTGGATAAGTTGTCATCTAGATCCATCAAATGTGTTTTTGTTGGATACTCTCGTACTCAAAAAGGATATAGATGTTATCATCCGTCCATCAGGAAATATTTTGTGTCTGCTGATGTTACCTTTTTTGAGTATGTCCCATATTTTTCATCTGGTTCCACTACTATTAGCTGTCCACAGGTACCACTACCTTCTTCTGCTCCTACTACTATTCCATTACCTGCTCCTGTTGCTCCTGCACCGAAGCCTCTACTGACATACTCTCGTCGCCCAAAAGTACATGCCCCTGAATCTGCTACTGCTGCAGTTGTCGGTCAATCTCATGTTGAGACCTCTATTCCTTCTGACTTGGATATCCCTATTGCTCTTCGAAAAGGTAAACGGTCTTGCCCGAATTATCCTATATCTCTTTTTGTCTCTTATGACCGTCTCAACCCATCTTTTCGTCAGTTTGCCTTGTCCTTGTCCACTGTATCTATACCTAGATCATATGAGGAAGCTATGTTAGTACCAGCTTAGAAGCAGACTATGGATGAGGAAATGAATACACTACTTTCTAGAGGGACTTGGGACTTGGTTTCTCTTCCTACTAGAGCGACTGTGGTTGGTTGCAGATGGGTGTATACCCTAAAATATCGCCCCAATGGGTCTGTTGACCGTTATAAAGCTCGCCTGGTTGCGAAAGGCTATACCCAGACATATGGCGTCGACTATTTTGAAACCTTTTCTCCCGTTGCTCATCTCAACTCCATCAGAATTCTTTTCTCTCTGGCTGTTAATATGAATTGGGCGATGTACCAACTAGATGTGAAGAATGCTTTCCTTTATGGTGATTTGGACGAGGAGGTTTATATGGAGCAACCTCCTGTGTATGTTGCTCAGGGGGAGAATATTATCTGCAGGCTGAGAAAGGCCATCTATGGGTTAAAGCAGAGTCCTCGAGCTTGGTTTGATAAGTTCAGCAAGGTTATTTTTAATGTTGGTTTCCAACGTTGTCAGTCTGATCACTCTATCTTTCTTCGACGCACAACAACTGGTTTGATTATTTTAGCCGTATATGTTGATGATATTCTACTGACTGGGAGTGACTCTATTGCCTTAACTGAGACTAAGGAGTATCTAAACCGTCATTTTTTCACTAAGGACATGGGAAAGCCAAAGTATTTTCTTGGGATTGAAGTTGCATATCAAAAACATGGCCTGTTGTTGTCCCAAAGGAAGTATGTGCTAGATTTACTAGAAGAAGCAGGTCTCTTGGAATGCAAACCTGCAAGCACTCCAATGGAGACAAATGTTGATTTGTGGCTTGATGATACCTCTCTCCTAGATGATGCTGGACGATATAGGAGACTAATTGGGAAGCTAATATATTTGATAGTTACCAGACCTGATATTACTTTTGCAGTAGGTGTATTGAACAGGTTTATGCACAAACCTAGAGAGGTTCATTGGACAGCAGCTCTGAAGATTTTGGCATATGTCAAGAGTTGCTCTGGCAAAGGATTGTTATATAAGAAGCATTAGCATACTCACATTTCGGCTTTCTCTGATGCTGGCTACGCAGGAGACATGGGAGATCGGAAGTCAACCTCAGGATTTTGTACTTTTGTTGGAGGTAATCTTGTGACTTGGAGAAGCAAGAAACAAGATGTAGTATCACGATCTAGTACAGAGGCCGAATATAGAGCAATGGATCACACTGCTTGTGAGATGGTGTGGCTAAGAAAGTTTATGACAGAGCTTGGTTTTGTTCAGCCTGGACCCATGCCAATGCATTGTGACAACCAGTCTGCCATTTATATTGCACAGAATCCTGTGTTTCATGAGAGGACAAAACATATTGAAGTTGACTGTAATTTTGTCAGAGATGCTTGGGAGAAGAAGATAGTATCTCTCATATTCACTCCGTCCTCACAACAACTTGCTGATATTCTTACCAAGGCTACTTCTTCAAAGGTGTTCTCTACTATATGTGACAAGCTGGGCATGGTAGACATCTATGCTCCAGCTTGAGGGAGAGTGTTAAGTTAAATATTGGGTATTGGGTTAATGGGATGTTACCCGTTAACCTTAACCCTATTTGTATAGCTATATATATCTCTCTTGTTATTCTCAATAAAACCATTAGGGTTTTCTCTATTCTCTACAATACAAATTATCTCAAACAGGTACACAAGGGATCAGACTTAACCTCAGTTCTGATTTCCTTAGAACTTTCAAAATAGTTAGGATTTAAAAAAGATTAATTTTCATTTAAGGGATTGCAAATAATTTATATATCGAAAATTGAAGAGAGATGGTAAAAAAAATAAGAATGGTTGTAGAACATAATAACCAGATTACCAGAGGAACTTTTCTTTTCCATGTTGCAAGAGGGAGTGGAAGGAACCCACAACATCTTTTTACTTATAACAAAGATCAGTGTTCACCTACGTGAAACAGCATTTTTTTTCACTCATATAACATATAAGCGAGCGAATATACAAAGATGGACTTTTCTGGTAAGTTGCATGTCCCACAAATTGTGATCATGTACAAAATCGTTATATGTTTGAATCTCATGATTCAGCACCGAAAGCAACAGGGCCAGAGATGGAGCCTTCACAGCTTTGATAATGCAAGATCCATGACATCAACGAAGAAGTCTGCAGAAAAAAAAATATTTACCCATGAATAAAATTCATATATTAAAACCTTGACATATGCTCCAATATAATGTCAATTGCACCGAAGAAAGCAAATTACATACCAGAATCTTCCTTGGTGAAGCAGAGAGGGGGTGTTATTCTGAATACATTCCCATAGAATCCACCCTTACCAACTAGCACACCCATTTCTGTCCAATTGATACAAACAAGATTATTCAATAAAACTGTACAATATTTTCGTCTGAGGTTTATTCGACAATATTTTTCATTGATAATAAACTTTTGCACCGTTCTTTTGAATTCAATCTGTTTCTTGTATCAACAATGGTGAAATACCTTTCATTTGGTCCATGACATGTGAGACTTCAGCTTTTGCCGGAGTTTTCAGTTGATGGTCTGATACCAATTCAACTCCAAGCATCAGGCCTCTTCCCCTCACATCTCCAATTACTGCAAAATTGGAAATTAAATCAAATAAATTATCAAAAAGTTTTAAGATGACTGATAATAAATCTGAGCCCATAGAATAGTGTGTTAATACATTAAAACATTGCGTTGAAAAACATTAAGCAATTCTAGTCAATTCTGTATAATTAAAAAGGATCGATGAGACTGAAATCTTACTCTCATGCTTCTTCTGGAGTGCCTTGAGACGATCTTTCAAATAAGACCCTACAACACATGCATTTTCTTGAAGCCTCTCTTTTTCGATGACTTTAAGAACAGCGAGCCCTCCAGCAGTACACACAGGATTACCCCCAAATGTATTGAAGTAGCTTCGACGTGTCAAGACCTCTGCTATCTCTGGAGTGGTAATCACTGCACCCAGAGGTATTCCATTTCCAATACCCTGAAAACATCACAAATAAAATGTCAGTTTCTTTTTTTTCCTTTTTTTTAGTACAGGGTGTGCGACTGCTTGCCTTTGCCATTGTAACAATGTCAGGCATCACATCTTGGCTCTCAAACCCCCAGAAATGGCTCCCTATTCGTGCAAATCCTGACTGAACTTCATCGGCTATACAGAGACCTCCAGCTTTTTTGATACTCTTATATGCAGCAGGCAGATAGCCCGCTGCTAATTCAACTACACCACCAACCCCCTGTTACAATAAAATTATAAAATGCAATGAATTTTATAAAATTAAGCAGATATCATCATTTAATTTGGTGAATAAGTATACCTGTATGGCTTCAGAAATGAAACCTGCAACTTGTCCAGAAGTTCCATAGTCGATAATTTCCTGTACATCCTTAGCATATTTTTCACCATCAGAACCAAAAATACCTCTATATGGATCTGGGTTTTGTGCATGGTGTACTCCTGCCTGTTAGCAGAAGAATTAGGTTCAAAATTATTAGAGAAGA